CCCAGGCTCCTCCAGGATGCCCTTGCCTCAGGGGTCCACTCTTTCTTGGTGCCCCTGCCCGGCTGCCCCCACCCCGAGCACCGTTTCCCTTCCCTGCTTCTCTGCAGTCCCCGGCTGACCCTGAACTGGGGCCGCGGCTCCTCCATAGCTTCCCCGGGCGAGTCTAGCGTCCCCCACTTGTAGGCCAGCTCCGCGCCCCTCCGTTTCCACTCTTCCAAGAACAGTGTGGACCAGATCACGTTGAAGAGAGCAAAGACCACGCAGGACACATCTCGGCTCGTCTGTGGGTGCCAGAGCAGAGGCGGGCTGTCAGGCCAGCGGCCGAGGAGGGCCTCTGGGCCTCCCGCCTGCCCAGCCCCACCTGCTACCTGGTCAGCCTCTGTGAATGTGTATAGCACGGAACCAAAGACAGCCGGGTACACCATCGCTGACGTGTAGAAGCCCAGCCAGGCAAAATACATGGCGATCTTCACGCCGAAGTAGTCACAGATGTCATCTGCCAGGGAGACAGGGCTCCGGTCACCCCTGCCTGCCTTCTGGGACCCAGCCTACCACCGCCCAGCCCCTAGCCTGGGCCACACCTAGAGGCTGGTTTTCACACACGGCCTGCACCCAGGACTTCATGAGACGGTTCAGGATGCGCTGCTCATGCACTGGGAACACCTGCTGGATGATCCCACGGGCCGCCAGCTCGGGGACTGCGGGAGGACGGGACAAGACGCTGTCTCGCCTGCTCCCGCTCCTGGAACTCAAGCCAGAGCTCTGTGCCCTAGAGGCTCTTCCGGGGGAGGAGGGCTACATGGACGAACATCCCCTTCTCCTGGAGAGTTCGGGCGATACAGGGGTGGTCGGGAAAGGCGGCAGGCACCTGGAGAGCCGGGTGCCATGGGAAACCATGTTTTAGAATAAAGGATCTGGCCTGTTTGTGACCCTGCCTGCCTTAGGAGAGGCACAAAGCTTTCATATGAAGGTGAGCTTGGGTTGACTAGTTTCAGAGGGTGGAACCCAAAGCTAGGGGCTCGCAAGAGTATTTAGGGTGCTGTCCGTGGTCCTGACCCATCTTTTCCTGACTTGGAAAACAACCCAGGCCGGGGCCCACCTCCTAAGGGATAAACCCAACCCCTTTGCAGAGACCACACCCCTTAAACCCGCAGATTGACCACGCCCACCCACGGAGCCCACACCCTCAAAGCTCATTGGTTGACCCTTTCTTTACTAGCCCCTATCTGGTTGGAACTAGGCCCTGCCCTCCTGACCTGCCCCACCCATCTCGCTGCCTGTGATCTGAGGGTCGGCCCCGCCTCGCTCACTGATTGGCTGGTCCTCCAGGAAGCGCACGTTGTGCAAGGCCTCCCCCTGCTTGGCGCGCAGGTTCTGCAGCCAGAAGCGGATGATGCTCTGGCGTTCCTGTTTGGGACAGGATGTGAGCTCTTAAGAGTGGCCCCGAGTCTGGGGCGCCCTGGGGGCAGGAGCCGGCCCCACCTGGGAGGTGAAGAAGCGCAGCTCGCTCTCCACGTTCTCGTAGATGAAGTCCTCTTCGCAGGAGAAGCCGCGGGTACCCCCGCCGAACTCGGCCTTCACGGCCTTGCGAAGGCCCAGCTCGTCGGCGCCACGGAGCAGGCTGCGGGGAGGGCAGGGGGCTCACAGAGGGTCGGGGGGGAGGAGCAGAGCGGCACCGGGGGCGGGGCAGGGCAGGCACTCGCCTCTCGTACGTGGCGGTGACGAAGAAGGCATAGGCGCGTGTGCGGCGGTGGTGGCGGACTTGCACAATGAGCTCGGGGATGCCCACACGGATGTGGTTCAGCAGCCAGAGCAGCGTGTGGTCGTCGGTCGTGTCTGCCAAGGGGCACAGGAACCGATGGCTCTCGTTCGCCACGGGAGGCCCCGGGGCTTCCTACCTACTCTTGCTCCGGGAGGCTGAGTCAGTAGGGCCTCGGGTACCTGGGAAGGTCATGAGCACGTCGCAGTTCTCCGTGGGCACCGTCTTCATCCATGCTTTGTGGGACACGAGGTAGCGTCCCGCCTGAAGCAGCCGCTTCCCGAAGAGCTTATCTGCGGGGGGCAGTGTGGCAGGCCGGGTCCGGCACTGGGGCAGCCAACGGCCGGACGCCGCCTGGGTCTCAGCCCCTCCCCCCGGCTCCCCAGCACTCTGCCTAACACCCGAGGCCCGCCGCGC